GTGTGCTTCTAGGTCTATAAATAATAAATGTTGTAATTGCCGGAGAACCTGCGTCACTCCCAATATAAATGTACAAGGCAAAGATTCCATAAACAACACTGTACTAGAGAGGTTTGAATAGCCTTCTCTGCCCGTCTGCCGGTTTATTTGAGCGGTAGTGCTTCTGGGAGGATTCCAAAATGTTAATTGTTTTCTTTTACGTGGTGCTGTGTTTAGAGGTTGAAATTTGACAGTATGAATTAAATATTTATTGATCTCTTAATGAGGTTTGACTAGCTTTCTCCTGGCTCTAGGTTGGTGTGACTAGAGAGGTTTGAATAGCCTTCTCTGCCCGTCTGCCGGTTTATTTGAGCGGTAGTGCTTCTGGGAGGATTCCAAAATGTTAATTGTTTTCTTTTACGTGGTGCTGTGTTTAGAGGTTGAAATTTGACAGTATGAATTAAATATTTATTGATCTCTTAATGAGGTTTGACTAGCTTTCTCCTGGCTCTAGGTTGGTGTGCAGCGGGCAGTTTATTTGTCTGCAGTCTAGGGCTGCAACCGTCTGTTTTATATCACACTTGTAACAAAGACAAACAGTTACTATTACAGGGGATTTACAATCAAATTATATTTAATTCAGTTACTAAGGCCCTGATCTGGGGGCGGGGGTTAGGGCTCGGACTCTGTGTCCATGCGGAGCCCCATTCAGTGGAACTCTACCGATATGTTTACATAACTGCTCAGAGGTGGGATTCCTAAGTGTATGTAGACAGCCTCACACTAGCTCAGCTCAAGGTAGAGCTCTAAAGGGAGCAGAGTAGATAACACAGCACAGGTAGCTGTTCGGGGTAGCTCCCCATGCCCAAGCTGGAGTTGCCAGTTCAGGTTGGACATCTTCCTGGAGGTTTCCTCCCATGACACAACCTTTCATTAAAGAGTCAGCTTTAATTCTGGGAGACTCCAGGATAATCCTGGAGGGTTGGCAACCCTAGTCAAATGTGCCCAACCCTCTTGTGCCAAACTCTGGTGGCTAACCTGAGCTGCTGCCCAAGCTGCAGCATCCGCACTGCTGATCTTAGCACACGAGCTTGAGCTGAGCTCACGGGAGTCTGTTTTACCTTTGCTGGGAATCACCCCTCCCCACTGCAGTACAGACACACCCTCCAGCACAGCGATCTGTCCACATGCAGCTCATGGCAGGATGAAGGCCAGACTGTGTTACTGTTTCTTGCTCCTACCCAGTGAAATCCTTTAGCATGTGCTCCATTTTAAGCTTATGAGCTGACTTCAGTGGGACTGTGCTGAAAGCTAAGCTTGCACTAAAGTGTTTCACCAGGGCAGGGTTCTTACTGTAAGCCTTTAACCTTGGGGTTACATCTTAAAGCAGGGGTGGGAAATAATTGGCAGCTGTGGGGAAGGCATGAGCCCTTTAAGTAGAAGCAGTTGAAAGGGGTCGTGTGTCCTGACTCCCAGGCAACACGTTAGAAGAGGGGGCCAGGAACTGCTGTGCGGGCCGGATAAAAGAGCTAGGTGGGCCAGAGTCTGACAGGCTCTTGCCACCCCTGTCTTAATGGAGCCTGCCGTCTGACAAATGCCAACATTCCATGACATGATGATGTCGTTTTTTCCTGCATTGGGAGGACACTGAAAAATCTAGATACTTAAATATCATTTCAGTATCTTTCAGAGGCACAACAATCAGGATGATCCTGCTATGAGTCCGTATTCTTGCTATGCAAGCACTTTATAGTTATAGTAAATGATTTATATTATAGCATGCCAAGTGAACAAAACTTCTTTTGGCGTAAGTCATACTTCTTTAAATCCCTAGAAACACCCTGTAGGCTCGCAGGACCATCCCTCTGCATCTGTGGGAGGGGGCACACTTCTCGTAAGTTAGAGTCTGTAAGAGCCTTCTCTAGTCTGGAAAAGAAGGGGGGGGAGTTAGCAATTCACGCAGTATCTACCTGTGACATGCTGATTTAGTGTCAGGCTCGCCCTCTACCAAGTTACTGCCTGATTCTCCTGGGTTGCTTCCTTCTCTCTCCCTTGGGTGTACCTTGATCCAAGGGTTGTCCTCAACCTGCTCAGGGTATATAGCCAGGGGCAGCAGTAGCAGCTCCTCTGTGTAGAGGGTGTCAAGGCTCCATGGAAGTTCCTGTGAGTCTATGGTGCAACAGCGGTTCTCCTAAGCACTTGTCTCCAACAGCGGAGAAAAAGCATCTATCACCTCTGGTAGCTTTTTCCTAACTGAGCAGCTGGGCTGGCCTTTTATAGCTCTGCTTCTGGTGTGCAGGGCATGGCCTTCTTAGCTTCTCCCACCAGGTGACTTGCAGCAGTTCCTCTGTGTTTGAGCGGGGGTGGAGGTGGAGGGATCCATGCCTTCCCATTACACACCTCCATTGATGCAAAGGGATGCTTGTATTGGTAATTAATTGACTTTGGAAAAACAAACTGGTCTTTATCATAAAAAGAAAACATTAGACAAGATGAAGGGCCTGGTGGTGCAGTCCTGGGAAATAGGGTTGCCAGGTGTCAGGTATTGACCGACACCTGGCAGCTGACAGTATTTTCGCCTCCTGTCTGGTAAAAAAAATTCAGAAAATGCTGGACACCTGAAATGTCCGGTATTTTCTGGTTTTTTTCCTGGCCAGGACGCGAAAATACCAGACACCTGGCAACCCTATGACACACTCAACAACTGGGCCTGGCCCTAGCCCCCGGCCTCCCTGCTTACCTCGTTCCGTAGAGAAGCTCTTTTGTGGCTCGACCAAAAGGAAAAGATGGCCACCGACAAAAAACCTCAAGACCCAAGCAAGGGGAAGCAATGCCTTCCCTGGGTTTTAGTGCTCAACCGGCTCTTTATCCCTATTCTGACTCTGTACGCAATTAAAGGGGCCATACTGTTTTAATGCTGTTTTTTATTTATCTATTTGCTTAATAACTCTTGGGGTCCTTTTTGGTCTCCCCCCTCCCTTTTTTCCCCACCCTCAACAGAATTTTTTCCTGGTGTTTTTTTTTGGGGGGGGGGGGAGGGGGCAACCCTATTGGGAAACCAAAGCTCCCATTGAAAAAATGTGAGGGATTGATCTGAAGTCAGTGAAAAGACTCTGACTGACTTTAGTGGGGTTTGGATTAGGCCTCGAAAGTTTTGTGTGTGCAAGGAATGTAGAATTGAGAGCCACATTGACTCCAGTAGAGGCAGGCCTGATTTTATTTATTTAATCTGTTTTGATATGCAGTGCCAAGGTTTAGTGAGGTGAGTTAGACAGAAGAGTGACTCTCTACACAGTCTCACTTTGTTGTGTTTGCAGGATTTTTGTTGCTTGTGCTGTGTGGGAGTGCTAAGGCAGAAAAGTAGCTATAGAACAGCACAAACAAAACCATATGTTTTTATCTTGTGTGCCTCTAATGGAAATAATATTCCTTTCTTGTCATTGTGTCATCAGACTTACTTTGAAAGTCTTGCTTTGTTGAGATCCTTTGTCAGTTTTACAGAATATTTAGGCTAGTTGGTTTGGTGCAGTTTTTCCCTTGCATATTTGGGTTTTGCCTTTTTTTAATATTACAAAAATTCACTCTCAACCCTGCCAGATTAGAAACAAACTCCAGTCTGAAACCTATAAACACGTTCACATGATGTAACTTTACAAATACAAATTGTCCCTTTAAGTTCAATTGGACCATGTTACTACATAAGGCCTATACTCAGGATCAAGATCCAAATACTGCATGTTGGGCTCCTGGGGACAACTGTGCTAAAATTGTCCAAGTAGTTAATCGGTCTAGTTGATACAAGTACAGTGTCTGAAATTAGTGTGATGATCCAGTGTATATGTAGCATGAATCCATTTAGCCTTCTCCCTAATGATTATTAGAATTAGTTTAAAAAAAAATAAGTCTAGCTTGGCTGCTCTGGGCTGCTTTTTCTGCATACTGGAAAAAGGGACTCCAGGTAGCCTACAGCTACCATTCATGGCTGAGAGGTTTTACTAATAAAATGCCCTATATCTTAATTATTCACATTTTGAGCATGTGGATGGGCTTTGTACTTTCTCCTTTGAGCAGCTAGGATAATTCTTGCCAGGAGCAAGAGAACCCCTACATCTTATCTATGGGCAACCATTTTTATCGCGTGCATGTGTGTGTCACAGTAAGATTGGGGTTTGCTGTCGGAAGTAATCTGAATAATACCAGTGGCTGCTGTGGGATGTTTCCAAGTCATAAGCATTTTGTTCAGTGGTGTTCGCGGAATTGAGCTCTTTGTCCTGGATCTGAATTTGGGGTCAGGAACTTGACAAACCAAAACTGGGAACAAATATTCTATACTAGTCTGCTGGATCTCATTCGTTGTGGGATTGAGTTCTGCAGACAGATACTAGGAAAATCACTCTGACCTTGTGCACACGCGGTGGACTGAGAAACAATCGCCCCAATCTAACTTGGACCCAATTCACATATTAAATACAGTTTTAATGTTATGACTTTAATGTGCACAACACCTGTTTTCACAGTAAGAAAGAGTTAGTTTAAAAACACGATCCCTGTATGCTAAAGGTGTATGATTGCAGCATTGTTCTGTACTGAGTCATTCGATGACCGTTGTAGCTAGAAAGTCTCTTACAAGTTGCTGAGGGAATTGCCAGAAGACTTGTACAGTAGCTTTCTTCTTTTCTGGTGACTGGCATTGTTTCTCTTCTCCGCTGTTTTCCCCTCTCCCCCTCCTTTTTCTTTACATGGAGCTTTTTATTTATTTATTTACCTAAAAGAAAGCTCTATAAAAAATCTGCTTTCCGTCTGTCTCCTAGGCATGCTCAGCTTTGTCAAACAGCACCATTGTATTTGTTTCAGTGTGGCTGCCCTTTGGGGAATTTGCAGGAATACTGCAGCAAATCATCCTGCATGCAAGGCTGACCTCTGGGAGGCTAACAAATTGAGGTGAGCCAGCTGGAGCGATAGGACACTGCTGATAGACAGAGCATGCTCAGAGCTGAGGGAGAAAGGTAGCTCAGTCTGCAGATGGTGTACTGGTTACGGCTCTTGTAGATTTTGGGGAGGGGAAGGGCGGTTGGGGGAGGGGGAAGAAGGAAGAAGATTGGATAGAGGGTTTCCCTGTGAGAAGTAGATTTAAGATTTGTGTGTGTGAGAGAGAGAGAGAGAGGCAGTGGATAATGTTTCCTTTTATTTAGCATATCAGGTATGCATGCATGTGCTGAAATCCTAATCTGTTAAGGATAGGCTCTCCCCAAGGATTAAGAAGGTTGCAGATGCTCTGAATTAATGTGCTGCTTTGGTGAGTGTTAATTGTAATTGTTCTCTGTAAGAGTCCTGTGTGAGGTCCATGGCTGACTTTAATTTTGCAGGTTAGTTCTGTTTATCCACCTTTTCATAGTGTACTTTTTTTAATGGGTGTATCAGACCACTGTTCCAATTAATTTGTCTGAATTTTTCATCCATGATTGTGTGGGTGGTCAGTATTTAATTTATAATCCCAGCCTTCATGCATTTTTTTTCTGTGTGTGTGTTTTTTTTTTTTTTTTTTTTAAGTATTTTGGAACACATGACTTGTGGGGAGGAAATCTTGTTTCTAATGCACACTTAACTCTAGGAATTCTTTTTAAAATCTCCACTGGACAGTTTTACTGTCTCCACAGAACATCTCACTGTATTGCTTATCAGCGCAGGAGGCTTTTTAATGTTCTTATTGGCTGTGCTGGGCTCCTGCTTAGAATTTCTAGCACATAGAAACTGTTCTAGGCACCATGCTAAATGGGAAACATGAAATGCTTGTGCTAATAGTTATACAGATAATTTTGTACTAGCCCTTTAAATTTCCATTCAGACAGTATCAAAGCTATTTCTTTTGAGGAGGAGGAAAAGGAAGAATATAGAAATCAATGGCTATTAAAATCCAGATGTGCTGCTAACCCCTAGAGATTCATGTTGCTTGAGTGTATTCTGGGATCAACGCTTTCTGGATATTAATTTCAGTTTTTCTGGATTAGTACATTCCTTTTTCCATTGAAGTGATTTTTATCTATAATTGTCTATCAAATGACTTATTAGTGTGTTTTTTCCTGGCATGCATTCTTGCAGTTTAATGAAGACTTCTTGCTTATGAAAAAACAAAAGCAAGATCCTGCATCATCTTATTCATTGGCTGACTCCAGTATAGTTTTATTCATGTGAGAAGCCATTGATATCAGTGGGACTACTTGTGATTAAAGGTTAACAGATGTGAATTCTTACACATTACGTTTCCCCCATCTCTCTTCCAGCAGCTAGAGTGTTTTGGGTTGGTAAGTCTTCAAGGACTCCCAGGTGTGTAAGCAGAGAGGCACTGTCAACTCATTTGATAGTTTCACTTAAAGCTCCAGATGGTCAAGTCAAGTTGCATGACCATCTTAGATTTTCCTGATTGTGAAGAAAAACTTTCAAAGGGGACCCCTAAAAGCTTGTTAACCAAAATACAAATAAAAAGACTCAATTTATTAAAAATGTCTTACTTTTTAACTCTGTCTCCTGAATTTTTTTTTCATATCCTGATTTTTTCATTGCTTGTGATTGGCAATACTGTATTTTTAACCGTTTTAGAGTTCTGCATTTTGACAGGGGATAACAGTATGACTAAAGTTACTATCCAACTCTGAATGACTATGAAATAAATAGATCACACGAGAGAAGAATTTTTCCAAAGGCACAGCTGGTAGTTAGGTGCACAGGCCAAAGGGCAAGAGGCACCTAAGTGTGCCTTTGGAAAAAAATCTTCTCCCTTGTAGCATACTTTATTTCCCTTTTCATAGTTAAGATATGTTTTGAAATCAAGAACATTTAACAAAAGGAAATGTTATATGGAGAGCCTGCCTTCTTATTTGCCATCTCCTGTAGAGCAAGGTTTTTTATTTAGATAAAACTTTAGAATAAAAATAAACTTGTTTTTGTGTATGAATGTCAGATACTGAGGCTTCTATAAAATATTTATTTATACATGTTTGATGTACTATTTTTCTCCAATGGCATTTTAAAAATAGGGCTTATTAGACTTGAAACTTTGGGTGTTCTGATTTATACATTTCTAAGGCAGACTTGATTAATGGTATTTTCTACTTTAACTGCATGGCTTAGTCCCATCATGATTTTTGTAGTTAAAAAATCAGCACATCTGTAGTTTTCTGCTTTTTAGTAAGAAAAATATATCAATTACTTAATATTCAGCTCCTTAATTGCATGACTCAGTGGTTTATGACTATTACTTATTTAAATCACATAAAAACCTGAATAGTCTCTAGTAGCACCTTAAAGACTCACAAAACATGTAGATGGTATCATGAGGTTTCATAGACAAAACCCAGTTCTTCAAATGACCAGAGTATTAGAAGTCCAGATCCAAAAGTAAATCAGGGAAGGAGGTGGGGAAAAGGAAGGAAAAAAAAAAAGAGAGGAAAAGGAGAGGGGGGGAAAAGGGGGCAGGGAGAGAGAGAGAGACAGTGAGTAGATGGTTCAAGTAGTTAGAAGCATTGATCTTCCGGGAAGTGAAGGAGAGGCCTTAGAAACATGACTCTCTCTTAGAAAATATAATTTTCCCCTGAATCAATTTCTTAGAGAGATTATCTTTGTTTTAGGCCCTATAAGAATGGCTTGGAGGTCTGTTACTGTACTTTTTTTTTTTTTTTTTAATATTCATTTTGAGATTTTTTTTTTCCCTTTCTGGAGTGTAATAAAAACTGAAAATATTTTAAAAATGCACAGTTAGTTAAATTAGTAATTTTGAACTAATGTGAGGTGAGAGCTTGAGGGGTAATTTAATTTTCTGTTAAGCTTTAGGTGTTGAGGATGGTAACACTCATGTAGTATTTCACCTGAAGCATGTGTAAGTATTGCTATTCCCTCTGTAAACGGTGGCATGACTGGAAGTCAGGAGCACCAGTTCTGTGCTGTACCACGGGACCACACTGGCATGTCAGAAATGGAGGGCAGGGGAAGAAAGGGTTCCTCTCCTGTCTGGTGATAGGGATGGAGTGGTGTATGTGCATAAAGGCTCTGGTCTTACAGACTCTTGTGCTCTTCGCTTCATTCCATGCAGGTGAGCAGTGCCACTGAAAGCAAACTGTTCTTGGGAGCCTCCTCTGGTTTTGAAGTCTCAGTGCTGCCTTTTCATTCTGTCCTATTTAAAGAGCAGGACACAGAGCTGCTCCTCCACAGGCAAATTAGTTGTTACTGACCACTTTACATATAGCAAAACATCATATTAAAACTGATAGTTTCCAAATTAAGACCCATGTGCAGACAAGTAAGCACATGATTAACTTCACTGAAGGGAGTAGGCCTAGGCTCTGATCCTGCAAAGGGACCTGCCCAAGTGAAACCTTATCTCCTGGCACGATCTCATTTGCAGTAATGGGACTGTGTGCTGGTGGGTCCCATTCCAGGAATGTTGCTAAGGCTCCTCATCCTGACAGCCTTCTGCATGTGAAGTTCCTACTCAGTGTCTGGATTGGGAATGCACATGTGGAGGGCTTGCAACAGAATTGGATCCTAAGTGTGATTCTGAATACCTTCTGAGCTATACCGTCGAAGAAAAAGGAAGAGACAGATACTGCAGAACTAATTCAACGTCAAATCTCAGAGGAATACCCCTGTTGGTCTGTATCTGCAAAAACAACGACGAGTCCTGTGGCGCATTAAAGACTGAGGCCACATCTATACTTCTTGCATTTGATTTATTGGGTCTAGTTAAGACCTGTTAAATCGAATGCTGAGGGTGCCTCCGGCCCACATGGGTACTCCTTGCACTTGTGAGGAGTAAGGGAAGCTGACGGGAGTGTTTGCTCCTGTTGGCCTCCTGCTGTGAAGACAGTGCCAAACTTGACTCTGGCTACATTATTTCTAGCTTAGACCTGGATTAACAGATTTATTTGCGCATAATCTTTCGTGGGTAAAAAACAAATTTGGGTCACCATTCCAAGAGGAACCCGCATTCCCTCTTCACTCCCTTGCTTTGAGTGGTATGTAGAAAGCAGGGTCTTGTTGGGACTGCCACAGTGATGGGCATGGTATAAGAGCCTGAATAGTTATTGGCAGTGCATCCCTGCTGGTAGGCAAAGAGAGAAGAAAAGTCTTCAACTTGTGTCTTGCTAGCGCCATAGAAAGGGAGGCTGAGGAAAAAGGCCCAAATTGCAATGGAAGTTAAGCACCTAAATACCTTAGGCAGACATGTTTCTCCGCATTATTTGCTATCCAAACACTGGCACATGCTGTTAATGTTTGAGAACCAGAGTGTGAAGTTGCTAAGTCACTGACTTGCAAACTGTGGTGAAACTGTTTGTGTCTATATATTTTTTTATTGTCCAAGTCAAGTGAAATACAAGAAATAATAAAATACCTGGCAGTGAAACTGTTCTTTAAAATTCTTTCAGTTGTAATAATCTGAATGTTTAAGATTTTTTTTTTAAAATGTAAATTTTGACAAGTGTGTCCCTTTAATAACTAGTTTCAGCTACCTCTCTTACTGAAGCAGACATCAAAGTGTTCTTGCACAGGGCAGAAACTACTGTAGGCAGGCAGGTTTCAAACATGACTATCCTGCAAGATACTCTAATTGCAGCAGATATATAGCCAAGCATCTGTGACTGGCCTGTGCCAAGTGACCTAGACTTGTGGGGCTTGGATTATGGGGCTGTTGTGTGATGCAGGAGGGTCCCAAAGCCTAGAGTCCAGTTTGAGCCTGCATGTCCACACTATAATTAAACAGCCCCATAGCCTGAACCCTGTGTTCCCAAGTCATATGATGCTGACCACATGCAGATGTTTAATTGCAGTATAGACAGAGCCTCTAAGCCAAGGAAACATGCTCTTTCTGAGCAGAGACATGACCTGCTGAAGAGTTTACTTGCTTATTAGTAATTAATTAAAAAGTGGTTGAACTGAAGTTTTTTGAAGATAGGGAGTCATGAGCATTAGTTAGCCCGCTTCCTGGAGGATGGGAAGAAGAGGCTGCTGGCAGCTTGCTTTACCTTGGGTGCCTCCTCATTGGCCATTTAAATTAAAATTAAAGCAACCAGAGACAAGCCGGCTTTCTTCATGCCTGTGCTCTTGCTGTATCTCTCAGCTTCAGGCATACCTCAAAGCTTTTTTCCCCCCTCCAAATCTGTCTTCTCTCACTGCCTTTGCACCCAGACCTCCCCATCTCGGCCATCACACGCTGGCAAGTGTCAGCTGCCCCCAACCATCATCAAGATTCCAGCCAGGGGAGACTGCTGGCTGTGATTCTTTCTCCTCCGAACAACCTGTCTG